ATAGTACCATTCATAATATTTAAAAATTCCAGCAAATATTGTATAGTAGGACTTATAAATTTAATTGTGTCAAAGACACCCACAGCAAATAAGCAACGCAAATGAAGGTTATTGTTGTGTAATTGTCCATATGAGACATTTATTGTATCAACTAATTAAAATATAACTTTTTTATTATTTACACTTCAAAATACTCACTATATAATAATAAAAAGATTAAATAATTACCCAGGAATTCTTTTAGCTCATAATGGAATTATAATGATGCAAAAAATGACCAATAACATTATTTGGGAGATGTGTAATATACATTATTGTATAAAAGTTAAGAATCTATAACTGGAAACTGTGAGACGGGAAAAGCTCATAAATTTCAAACTTTTGAGACTGTTTTAGAGCATTTTGAATTTTAGTCCTTTAAATTAAGGACAATGAAGTACTATCTATACAAATATTATGAATTCTAAAGAAATCTTCAAACTCTGAAAAGTTCTAGTCCCCAAATTTGTCATAAGTGATGTTCAGATTGTGCTTTGTAGAGTGGAGGATGAAGGAAGGCACAGAGGAAATATTCAGTGTACTACTTGTCCTTTAGCACCCAAGTTTTGAAGGAGAGATCAAGAGAATTTCCAGGCTGATGGTGAGAGTTGCAACAAGCATGAGTATTCAGCAAGAAGCATGCTCAGCTGTTAATCTACACAGACTAGAAGAGTACGACAGATTAAAGGAGAGAATATTTAAAAAGTTTAAAGTTAAGTTTTTCTTGATAGCCATTCTTTCTGGGGTGAGATGGAATTTCAGTGTTGTTTTAATTTGCATTTTTTGAATGAATATAGATATTGAACATTTTTTCATGTATTTATTTGCCATTAGTATCTCTTCATTAGAGAAGTATGTATTCACCTCAGATGCCCATTTATTGACTGGGTCTTTGAATTTGGGGGTCTTATTTTTTAAAATTATTTACACGTTCTAGATAGAAGTCCTTGGTCTGAGGGACAGTTGGTTAAATATTTTCCCAATTCATGTGTTTTCTTTTCATTCTGTTGGTGATTTCTTTTGATGTCAAATCTTTTTAATGAGATGAAATCCCAGGTTTTTATTCTTTGAAATATTTCCCATGCAGTTTGTTTTTTGTTCATGAACTCTCTGCCTACACCTATGTCTTCAAGATTTCTACATACTTTTTCTTCTAGTAGATTTAGTATTTCTGTTCTAATATTTAGATTTTTGTTCATTTTGACTTTACTGTATGGTGATAGACGTGGGTCTAGTTTTAATACTCAGCATGTAGAAAGCCAGTTTTCCCAGGATCATTTATTAAAGAGGCTATCTTTCTTCCAGCAAATGTTTGGCCCCTTTGTCAAACATAAGATGTTTGTAGTTCTTTCTGCATTTTGTAGTCTATTCCATTGATCCTCAGGTCTTTCATTGAAAGGAACACCTAGTACTTATATTGTTTGAATAATTTCACATGTCTACATTGGGTAATCTGAACAACTACTTTGAAGATAACACTATGCATTATGCCAACCATTGTTAATTTCTTATAGTCTTGTTTTGAAATTCTGTATTGCTTTTATTGTTTTTCATTCTCAGATATATATCTATATTTGATTTTCTCCTTTTTTAATCTGACACTACATAAAGGACACTTATATAAATGACACAGAATTCAGTGGCACAATAATGAGACATAGGAAACCAAACAATAGTTAGCAATGAGACCTTAAACAATGTATTTAACCTTGGCTATAATGAAATTAAATATTGTTTGGGAAGGATGACTATACATTATTGGAAAAATATTCCTCTCAAGATTGTAACATGTTGAAATATCTAGGTATTAAACCAAGATTACAGCAGGATGTAAGACAAAAACGGATCATACAACACTCTGAATATATCTTCAAAATATTTTCTAGGAAATTATATAACAGAACGAGAGAAATACAGGATGATTCAAGGGTTATCTTCTGGCTAGGGAGAAAGAAAGAGATGTCATCAGGTGCATTACCCGTAACTATATCGTAGGCATAGGTGAGGAGAAAGATTTATAAGTGAAAAATACTAGTAAAATTTTGGACATGTTGATTTTTAAAACTCTATTTTATATGAAATGTAAGTAAGTTAATTTAACACATATTCAGATTACTTGACAGATGAAAATAGGTGGTAAAATTTGAGAGTTTGTATCTATATAATATTTATACCTATTTAATATCTAAATACAGATGTATAACAACTGGGAGAAAGATGTGATCATTAACGACCAGAATTTTAACAGAATGAGCAAAGAACTGGAGCTTGGTCCACTCTAAAGCCAGGAGGAAGAGAACCAGTAAAAGAAGTAGTAAAATAACAGAATAAGCAAAATAATAAAGCGGTACTTATGCCAAAGTGGATCAAATGATCAAGATCAAATATTGTCTATGGCGATATTTTAAATTTTTTGTCTGCTTGCTTTTTATTGTTAATGCTGTTTTATTTTCTTTACTAAGTTTAAAATGTAAGTCATTGAAATTTATTCATTATATCTGAGATCAGCATTAAATGGAATAAAATTCAAGTGGTATGTCAAAGTTCAGATAATTGATACTCACTGAAATACATTCAGATAGAGTATGGTAATATTATTTTGAAAATTATTGAGAATTTTAAATAAAACAGTAAAAATAATTTCAATTATATTTGGATAATTATTACTCAACTGCTTTTAGTTTCAAGCAGTACAAGCTAGATAATTTATTTCATTTAGAAAGCAAACATACATCAGACTATGATATTCTTGAATGTAACAATTTGAAAGTCAATGAGATTCAAATGCTAAAAACCAATGTTACAAAATTTATTATGTGCGCTTAAAGGAATAACGTAATCTAAACTCAATATGGCAAATATTATTATGTGTATGTCTTCTGAGAAGTTTAATAATTTCTTTAGTTTATTAGAAGGAAAATACTAAAATCTGGTCCATCTCAGGAGAAATAAATTATCCAAAAATATAAATTTTATATATTTTTGGAAAATTATAGGAAGTATTAGTACTAGATTTTTGATAGTTTTATTTAGTACATCAGATACTTCTGTAGGATATATGTCAATACATTAATTATGAAATCTGTTAATTATTGTCTTATGTCTAAGATACATCAGTCATTTCACAGACAAAGGGAAAAAATACTGTGATATTAACTTCATTATTGGAGGTAAAATATACTTAAATTCATATTACTTAATAATCCACTCTAAAAATTTTATGTGAGTTCTATTCTTTCTGCTATCACTATGATTCCCTTATAACTGTAGGTCTGTAGCTTAAGGGTAACTTGGTTTGCTCAAGTGCTCTTACTACTGAAAAAACTTGGGAGAGCTTTGTAACTACCAACTCCCCCCTTTCTGGCTCATTATAATTTCCACCTTTTTACACAAGCATTACATATGCTTAGCAAATACATTTACAATTTTTTATATATTTCCACTTAACTCTAGAAATTATAAAATAGAATATATATAAGAAGGCTTACAAGGTTTCTGATAAGGTTTTAAGACTTTTTTTTTTGGTACTGGGATTCAAACTCAGGACCTTGTGCTTGCCAGGCAGGAGCTTGTGCCTGCTGAGCTATAACCCTCTGATAAATTTTTGTGACACCTCAAACTAATCTATATCATTAGTCTTAAATATGTAGCTAATCCATGCTATCATAGCCCCTGCAATTGGCTAATACTATTTTCAAAAGTAAAACTAAGACTTTATTAGCTAAAATAAAAATAAAAACAAAATTTTTCTGTTTTCTGGGAAATTATAGTCACTGGAAAAATTCCAAGTAATTCTTGATTGCTCAGTGTAATTTTCAGCATTAAATATATATGCAATATGTTTTACCAATTATTGAGAAGTTACTGAGTCTTTAAAATTTTTTAAATTAATAACAGAATAATTTGTAAGTATCGATCTGTTATTCTGGAGGTAATTGCCATTTAAAAAGTTACTACAATAGAGTAATCAGTGTTAAACATCCTCCATATCAAGTCCATCTGAGAATAAGCGTGAGCAGGACATTTGCCTCTAAACAGATGAATAGTTACAGAAGGCAAATATAATCATTGTCATAGAAAGTGGGTAGTGCACATTCCTACTCTGAAGTTTTCGCCTTTTGGTTTAGGCTTATGCTCAGCTAACTCAGGACAAGAGAAAGTGGCTGAAATACAGCCATGGCTGTATTTGAAAGATTTGTAAACAGGATTGTACAGGTTTCTTTTCTCTTCTTCCTCTTCCCGCAGCTTAGGATGTTTATTATTCTGTTGTCTATATTCTCCACCTTCAGTAAACCATCAAATCCTTGTAGATTTCTTTTCCCAACATTTTTTTCTGGGAATTCTTTCCCTAATTCTTTCTGACCTCCTCAAAATTTTTGAGTGTCCTTAACAAGTAATGTTACTTTGGTTTTTTGCAACCCTTCCAGTTCATAAATCCACATTTTAAATGTTGTGGAGCAAATTGCCTGAACATAGGCAAAAATTAGAATTATTTCTTATTTTTAAAACAACATTATTCATAAGGGTGGTTTAGCTTTCCCATCTACATAACATCACTGACACATACTTCATTTACTCTCAAATACAATCCACTGGTGATAATAAAGACTTGCAAAAACTTGATTTATTATTCACAACTATATATATTTTATATTCCAAATGTATCCCATAATCTAGCCATGGTTATACAACAGCAGATCAATAAACATTTATCCACATTTATGTAGTTGAAACAGAAAAATAGCAATTTGTACCAAAGCTCATTTATAGTTCCGCTTTACTTTCCACATCCCATGCAGTGACTTCTTAGCTTTTTCCCTGAGTAAATCATGTTCTACATTTACAGATGTAAAACATTTCATTTTTGAGTTCAAAATTGCCCCCTAGGAATTAAATAAAATGAAATTTATATTTTTATAAATACTAGTTTATTTCATAAAAATATAAAAATATAAATATACATTTATAAAAATATGAATGAATTAACACAAAGACATTCTTCAACTAAATAAATATGGCAGTAGTAGTCATTCCTATTTCATTAGGGATATACTTTTTCCATATTAATTTACAAAGCAGTTGCACAATGTTTAATATAATAGTAAAGGTGATTGAAAGTCAGTTAAGAAAACATTTACAAATTTCTTATACCTAAGAAAAGGCACAAAAAGCCTTTTTTATTTTTATTGATTATTGATATGATATAATTTTCTTTCAAGATTATTAGGCAAAACAGGTGAACTGGTTATTATTACTGTTTTTAAATCTATATCATTCATATTCATTCACATAAACTTACTGATTAAGAAAACCCTTACTAAGACAACACTTATGTATTGATTGTAATTTTGATTTTCGATAACTCCTCTGAAGAGAATGCAGGCCACTCAATCTAGTAACAAAGACAGTACTTCCACTAATATTGATCAAGTCATGAAATACTCTTAGTCTCGGTCGCTGTCATCACCCCCATACATATCTGCCAGTTTTTTAAAACGAGGCCCCCAGTCGCTGAGGTAATCGTAATCTTGGTTACAATCAGCAGTGAGAGATTCTAAAGAGCTGAGGGAATTCGCCACAGAATCATTCCCTTCATAAGCATAAGTTGCCAAAGAATCGTAAGGAGGTGCACTTGGATCTGAGTCATTTTCTTTTAATCTTCGATGGATAAAATCCTGCACGTCAATGTTTTCCCACAGGGGTACAGTCCTCCGGATCTGAAAAATAGTTTCAGGCATGACGTCTCGTCTAACTTTGCTGTCTTCTCTTGCTTCTGGGTTCCGTAAAGTGCCAATGTCGAAAGCCTGTGTGTCCTCTTCCCCGCCTCCTTCGTCATTATAGGTCACGATGTTGTCGCGGACATCATCCTTTGAAATGATGAGCGGTTCCTTTTTCCTTTGCCTCTTCAATGCAGCAAACAGCATGACTAAAACTAGTAATAAAAGATGAGGAAATAGTAAGATTCCGTGATCCAAGATAAATACACATCTAGGTGTAAAGATTATGTAATTGAGTGCTTGGGGTATCTCTCTCATAGAAATTCAGAATACCTGAGCCCAGTATTGTACATGCTGCATTGAAAAAAGAGTAGATATTATAGTGTCATTAACTTATTTCCAAACCCTATGGGTCTCTGCCATTTAAAAAAAAAATTGTACAATTATAATTATTGCACTTAGGCATTTACAAATACCTGACACATCACTGCTCCAAATGTACATTTGTTTAAAAATATGCAAAACTGCTAAAGTTCCACTGTCACTATCCCAAATGTGTAACAATTCAATATTTTTAATGATTCAAGATAATATATGTACAATAGTACTTATATGTAAATGCATGTATACTGACATTCATATTAATACGTTATGTGTATATATGCATGTATATGAAATGTATGCATATGTATATACACATATACATACATTTATATACATACCTATATACTTGCATAGACACATAAATATATGAAATTGGGTGTTTATCCCATCCCATATTGCACATGTTTGGCTAAAATCCTTAACTGATCTGGTTTTGAAAACCCACTGAAATATCTGAAATATAACTTTTAGATTTATAATATAATATTCCAACTCAAATTCATCTTTGATAGGTACTCATATTGTAAGATAGCAAAATACTATCTCGCTAATGAGAATTTTCTGAATTCAGAGAGTGCTATTTGAGCTTTGGGGCTGAAATGTTAATTTCATTCTATTTGCACTATTATTTTGTTATTCACATCCTTTTGATGTAAATTTAACAGTGAACATCCTCACATGTACTATACTGTATTATTTCTAGTTGTAGTACCTGAACTTAAATTATTATGATATATTTGACAATAATACTTTTCCTAATAAATACAAGTTGAAATTAGTAAAAGGTGAAAGATTTATACAATCTGAAGAGAAACCAAGACTATTACAAGTTGAAATTAATAAGACACGTTTCTGCATACTGAGGCTTCATTGATACCATCCTTGGGGACACTGTAACTATGCCGAGTTAGTCTAGTTTTTTTTTTTTTTTTCTTTCAATATGGGCCACTATGCCTTCCTCAACTGTTTGTTAGGAAGAATTTTTTTCCAAATCATTGCAAGCATTATCACTTAGCCTCCACAGAAACAAATTTGGATTCCTGAGTTATATGCAGATATATCCTCAAAATATTAAAGCCCAAGTGTAAAACTGAGCTATGCCTGTACTCTTTCCTAATATACAACAAACACAAGTTAAGTCTCAGCTAAATCTGACCACCACCAAACTTCGGATGTACGCTAGAAAGAGGCAGCCCTTTCACAACTTCATATGGAATGAATAATTGTTTTAGTTTTCCACTCTTTGTTAATAAAATAACATTAAATTAAAATAGAACTTGTTTCTTCAGTTATAAATATTTACTAATTCCTATAAAAAGATTACAGAAACTTTAATAATTATTTTTTTCTTTCTTGCCATGTGAAATTCATATTTCACTTTCTAGACTGAAGTGTTTACTTTGAGAGATAAAGTTGTAATCAGGGGAGCTAAGATAAACAATGGAAAAAGTAATCATTATAGTCTCTAATCTGTCACTAGAACTTCAGCTTCTCTACATTTTGAAAATGATCATATTCTTAATGATAGCAGCAGTATGTGTAACAATGAAACCAATAGAAATCACAAATATTTCATATTACATTCTAGTTAAGCAGCTATCTCAAAACATTACTGAATTTGAAATAGTAGGAAAATACATTATGTATTTTTATTTTCGTTAGGTGATTTTTCCTTATATAGTTTATTCTTATACATTGGTCTCTTTATCAAGTGTTATCTACCTATTTTTGTCTTTGTAGTTCTAAGGATTGAACTCAGCTCTCATACATGCTAGGCAAGCACTGTACTATACAATACCCTTTGTCCTCTCAGAAATTTAAATTGTTCTCTGGGTAGGCTTTTGAAGATCATTAGATTGCCAAAGGAGACTCTAAGATTTCAAATTATTTATAAATTTTTGGTTTTTGAATTAATATTTAACCTTGCTATATAACAAGAGTAAACTAAACACCACATTTTTGGAAAATGTATCAGGGTAGATATAAAATGTTATTTCCTATGCTCTATCATTACCTTGCAAAGAGCAATGTCCTTTATCTATAGAATGTGGTAGGTAGTATGTGTGGCATTAGTATAAAGATTTGAAAAAACAGCAAGAATGTGTCTTAGTAATTTTGATTATAAAACCTTCTGTATTAGAACCAATTTTATCTAATATAATAGAAAATCGCTCTATATTTAGGTAACATACTGGCAAGGTGAAAAGGAAGAAATCTTGGCCTTTTATATTGTTCCAAGTAGAAAGGTGGCCATCTATTAAAAGCAATAGTAAAAAATGTCTAATATTTCTGCATAAAGAAATACTATTAACTTTGCTATGACAATATTAGAATATTTTAATTTACTTGGGGGTGTTTTTGTTTTCCAGGTGTGCAGGAAAATCATGTGTATCATATCATACAGAAAATTAAAGAAAAATATTCAATGCATGTATATTCACTTTACTGTAAATTGGGGAAGTAGAACTGTTTGAGCAATTAGAACAAGATGAAATTTGTAGCACTTAGCTATAATGGAAAGCCACAATTTCTTATTCATAAGGACACAGATATATTTTCCAGAGGAGTTGAGCTTGGTAGCAGCAGGTAGAGGTGGGGACAGCTCCTGGTGAGGGTGGCGGTAGTGCTTATGTCCTAAAGCATTGTGAGCCAATGCTTTTTTCAGTACCTATATCCTCTTAACTGAAGCAAATATTGTCCTCTCACATCCACCCGTCCCCTAGTGATGTCCAGGAGGATATCTGGCCAAAAAGACTTCATCCAGACAGCTTGAAAGGATTAGTGGTGAAAAGAAGCCAGCACATATGAGCATTAGAACATAAATTTGGATAGCTGTTCTGCCCGAAGCACAAGAATTTTGGATGAATATTTGATGGAAATAATTTTTTGGAATGTTTTAGAGTGCAACAACTGTTTAATTGAATTAAATTGTTGTCCTGTTAGTGCGTGCTCAAATGAAACATTTGCTGTTGGAAGCATGCCTTAGTTTAGGAAATACGACAGGGCTAGTATGACCACAGTGTCACAATGAGTTTTTTTTAAAGCAGAATTTTGACTTCTAACAGTGTCTTGCACCTGTACATAACAAGTGCTATGGGGAGGATATTTGTCTTTCTGTGACAATTTTAATGCATTTGCCAATTAGACATTTGATATATAAATTGATGTGCATTAATATTATTTGTAAAGGTAGAATGGTCTTTGGTTTTGAGAATAATATAAAAGAGAATTTCAAAATACAACAATCTGTGTTTAGGACCTAATAAAAAGGCTATCTAAAAAGTTAAATTCAGTACAGTATTAGGCCATTGTATAGTAGAATAAAAGTGTTTACCTTGTAGAGGTGATATAGAGATTGAATCATTTATTAAATTGAATGTCTTTGGAGCATGACTTACCAAAGTTATAACACTTAATGCGATAAAATATGTTTAAAAATATGTATATAACATTGCTGTTATGTTCTCTGGCATTATGAGAAACCTAGATCTATCCCCTCAGGATAAAGGAAATATTCTCTGTGTGTATTGGAAGGAATAAAGTTCATCAAAGAGTGTGAATGGTTAGCGGTGGGGAGGTATTGTTTCAGGCTGGGCGGAGGGTGGTGGAGGAGTGTGTTCCGCGGAAGGGTGCATTCAGAAGGCGCAGCTTACTGAGCAGGATGAGGACACAGAGAAGGATGGCGACCAGAGCGCCCGTGCTCAGCCCTGCAGAGAGGACCAAGGCCTCCGCATTGCAGGACTGCATGTTCCCTTGATTGTCGCAGGCACACACACGGATGGTGAGGGTGCCAGTGCTGCTTTGAATAGGGTAATCATTGTCGAAGATTAAAATTGGCAGTAGGTAGGTGCTCATTTTGTTGCGGCTGTAGCCATCTTTTCGAGTCATGATTCCGGCTGTATTATCTGGGGGAGACAAAAAAGAAACAAAACAAAACACAGAGACAATTTATGCTTGTTTGGAAGGCTGCAAATGCAGATTTCTTAAATTATGCTTTTATCTTTTTATTTTAAAGATAAAAAGATCAAAATAACATAGACAAAAACAATAAAAATGATACAGGCTTAGAAAACAAAATGATAGGAATTATTAGAAAGTTCTGTACCTTTATTGTCTACAATGGTGAAGTTTGGATTGAGAGGAAATTCTGGCACAGGTTCGAAGAAGAATTTATGGCCCCGGGGAGGGTCATCTTTGTCCATTACACTGATTGTCTGAATCAACTGAAATCAAAAAAGGTGAATTAACCTAATTAAATGGAACAAAAACCAATTCTTTTTCTAGTTTAAGATACTTTAAGAGTCGGCACTTTGATTACTAAGGTTAAAGAAACAATGAAATGCCATTTTAAGAAAATCATGCCAAGATATATTTTAATGGTTTCATTTAATGTTTTCAAAAATAAAGTACTCAAGACTAACACTCTGCAAGTGTTACTTGTGAAGCATCTCAAGTCACCATTTTTTGCTTCCTGATGACTGAAACATTTGACCTTAAAAAATGAACATTCTGATACTATCTTCCATTATGCTTGTTGTAAAGCACCTGTCTGTTTCATTAAAATTTGCTTACCTATCTGGTTTGTACCACTAGAAAATAATTTTTCAAAGGAAGAAAATGTGAAAGATGCTTTTTAAAATGTAGAAGTGCTTTCCAAAACCACTCCTTCCCATTAACAAAACTATTGATGCAGTTTTGGACAAATTTACATCTTGTGATGCAGTATCATAAAGAAGCATGTTAAAGATATGGGGATAGTTGGAAGAATTATAATGCATATGTCATTCAGATTGCTTGCTTATCCTTTAATGTTATTTACAAAGATCTAAGTATAAAAGTACTTCTCAGGTTTTATAAAATCAGTACTGAAGTTGCAAAAGTAAAGTGCTTTTTCACTGAGATCAATGTAAGTCAGAAGTTTGCCATACACGGTGGTATATGTGTTCCCATGTTTATAGCAGCACAATTTGTCATAGCTAAATCTTGGAAACAACCCTAATGCCCATCACCTGAGGAATAGATAAAAAAGAATCATTATCTTTATACAATAGAGTACTACTCAGCTATAAAAAAGTTAAATTTGAGACAGTTATAGGTAAATGGAGGCAACAAGAGACCATATTCATAAGTGAAATAAACCAGACTCACATGTGTAAACCTCACATTGTCTCCCTAGTATAAGAAACTGAGAGAGTAAATAAGACCTAAAAGGTAAAATACAAACTATGAAAGGGAAACTGCTCAAAAGGAAAGAACTGGGATGGGGCAATGGAGAAAAGAAGGAAGAGAAATACATATATACATGTATATATATATGTATATATATATGTATATATATGTATATGTATATATATACATATATATATACATATATATTTACACACACACAGAGCACTTAGCTAAGATAATTGCACAGCTAATTTCTATTAGTTCATTGAAAGGAACATTTAGTGTTTATATTCTTTGATCAATTTTGCATGCCTGTACCTGGAAATTGAGCAATTACTTTGAAGATAACAATATGCGGTATAATAACCACTGTTAATTTCTTATCATCTTGTTCTAAAATTCTGTTTCAATTTTATTGTTTTTCTTCTCTCTTCAAAAGTAAAAAAAAGGTCAGGCAGAAGTATCCCATGTACATTTCATTGTAGAAAAAATGCTGCACTGTGTATCAACGTCCTTGTGTCTCTAGGCATGAGTTTGCCATGTGTCTGATGTGAAGTTACAGTCATTTAGGTACTTGTGATTTCAGCTTCCTATTCTAGATAAACAGTCACACCACTTGCAGGTATTCCAGTGAACCTTCTGTAGTGTTAATTATGGGACGTTCACAGTAGTTTAACTTACCCATTCTTTTGACTATCCTGTGCCCTGTAGAGCCACAGCAACTTGAATTCTCCCTGGTCAATACTTTTACACTTTATCTTGATATTAGTGATAAATTCATGCACTGTATTGACACAGTGAATATGACTATATTCCTTTATGAAGTGCTCCTTTTTGGGGGGGGTGGTTCTCCAGTACCAGGAACCGAACTCACGACCTTGCGCTTGCCAGGCAGGCACTTTGCTGCTGAGCTAAATCCCCAGCTCTATGAAGTGCTTCTAAAAGTACACAATTAGTAGTACAAAATTTAACTTTTTTCCTTAGATAATTGAAGCTCAACCTAAGAAAAAAATTACATAACTTCTATTGGTTTCGCTCAACTTTCCGACCATTAACAGTGATACAAGTTGAACGGTTAGCAATATTTTAATATACAAAATTATTGGCCCTTTGATTACATTCTTAAAGTTATTGGTATGATTAGATGGACCCTGGCTGAGCCTTTTAAAAGGAAATATATATATCACTTGCTTAAATAAATTTATTTTGACTTTGTTGGCTGGAATGAGTTGGCAATAGATATATTAAAATTATTCAGCTGCTATTAGTTATAATCTGTTAATATCAAATGTCAATGTAGAGGGCACTGATAACTCATACAAATCAATACAAGGCAAACAAGCTAACTCCTAAATGAATAAAGAATATCTATAGGGTATGGTAAGCACGTGCAAAAGTTGTAAATCATAGTACCATGAAGGTGATGTTATCTGAAAATAAACTCATTACAGATATAACCACATGAAAGGAAAGTCATCCTGGAACAAGGAGGGCTCTATTACAATGACTGGGGTCTTCTTAAAAAGAGATAAATTTGAACACAGAAAAAGATACAATGCAGTGATGGAGACTGAGATGGGAGTTATTACTGTCTATACCCCAAGGAACACCAAAGAATTGCTGGCCTCCACAAGAAACTAGAAGTGTCCACGAAGGATCCTCTGTAACTCAGAGCATATCGTTGTCATAAAGCAATGGTGCAATTCTAATCTCCAGACTTGTGAAAGGAAAAGTATCTGTGCTTTTAAATCATCCACTCTGTAGTATTTTTGGCCACATCAGGAACATGATACAATTGTGTTAAGAAAAAAAAAACACAAAAAATGTGCCTTTCATTACTGCCATTTCATAGAAAGGCATCCAACTTCAAAAAGTTTGAAGGAGTTTACACTAAACTGTTTTGAGATGTTTAGAAGTTTGCAGACATTTAAAATCTAGAGGCACCTCAGTAAATATGTAATCATGCATGTGTGGTAGAAGTATTATGTTTTGGAAAATTATTTGGCAAAATGTAATCACAGTTACTTTGATTATAACATCAGGGAGACAACACGGTAGTAAGAAAGGTAGTAAGGTAGTAAGAAAGTATAACATACTATAATACTCACTGTAATGCGTCTGCTAAAATAACATTTTGTGGTTAACAAAATGTCCACTTGTAGAGGAGTAGTTGAATAAATTCATTTGTGGCCATGTTATAAAAATTAAACCTCAGATAAAAATTAACACTGCACTGAGAATATGCCTGTTTTATCTTGCAAATAACAAAAAGAAAAAAAAATAACTTTGAGTGAGAGCAACTATGTAAAGATTCCACATGGATTAAAACATTGTATTTTATATTGTAATCATTTCACTATGAAGCCCAAGCTGGGCTCAGACTGCCTCAGCCTTCTTAAAGGTTATGATTACAGGTGTGTGGCATTCAACCTGCTTTCACTTAATTTTTTTTCCGTGTAGGGGGAACATGGTAAGTGTGTTTGTCTCACTTATCTGTGCTACCCTGTATAAAAACAGACTGTGTGGTTTATACAGCAGATATGTATTTTCTCACAGTTCTGGAAGCCGGAAGTTGGAGATCAGACTGTCTGCACTGTTGGCTTCTGAAGAGTGCTCTCTCCCTGGCTTGCTCTCTCTCTTTAAATCCTCAAATAGCCTTTTCTCAGTGCATGAGCTCAGGAAGAGGGAGACAGCATAAGATCTCTGGTACCTTAGCTTACAAGAAGATTAATTCTGTTGGACTGTCCCTTGTCCAGTACCAATAACTTCATTTAACTTTAACACTATTTTAGAGACCTCTGCTACAAACACAGGCACACATTTCTGGAGGCAAGCATCATACTGATAGCAAAACCAGAGAAAGACCCAACCAAGAAAGAGAACTACGGACCAATCTCCTTAATGAATATAGATGCAAAGATACTCAACAAGATACTAGCAAATAGAATGCAGCAAATTATCAAGAAAATTATACATCACGATCAAGTTGGATTCATTCCAGGAATG